ATTTATCGTGCCGGGATAGTGGCATCGGGTTGCGGCCGGCTTTTTGACTGTCTGACCTAAAGTATGCAGACATGTGCCATTAAAAAAGAGGATAAATGTACAATACACTGTCTATGCAGCATTTCATGAGGTTGGGCACCCAGTTTTGGGTAAATGTGGTTGTCCACTGGAGCAAGTGATCAATCTCCATAGATTTTGTTGGTACGGGCATGTCACCAAATAGGTTGTCACGAAGAGCGATGTTTCCCGAGATAGATAGTAGGTGGTGAAAAGCCAAGGATGTTAAAAATCCAACTTTGTACGACGGTATTAGAACTTTAACCAGGGGACTCGATCATATAGGCCACGTTAGGCTCCCTGGATGGAGACCTGGGGCTTATAGTGATTCATGATTAGAGACAATGAGTGATATGGCTAAGTGTAGTACACGGTGGAGCTCGTGTATTTTCTCAATTTCTTTGCAACCTTAGACAACTGATATTCTCTATTTTCTGTTTGACCCTACCTCCGACTTCGCTATCTTTCTTCAATTCCCTCGTACAAATCGCTAGCCAAAAGACAACATCCTAAACCGGTGCACTCAATTGCATGATTGATGGTTTTACAAACTGCACTGCACTGCACTGAACTCAACTCAACTCAACTCAACTGAGATATTCATGTGCATTAAGAGAACTACAAAGAAAATCAAGAAATTTAAAAAAACACTAAACCAGCCGCCTTCTTGTAAACCGCAAATCGTATGTCAGTGCCTCAGACGAATATCTTGTAAGCGGTACAAGTTACTTCATCGCGTCTGCTAGTTCGACTGATGGAATCAGTCAACAGTGCAGAACCCACTTTCATGCTGGCTTTTATGTTCAAATATGACAATATACTCTGACCATAAAGGATTTTGGTGCTGAAATGTGCAGTCCAGAATGACAGCACGCATAAACGTCACTGACGAGCGTGTTAACGGTGTTCCAAATCATTTTAGGCAATCAAATAAATTAAACTGTTAACACAAGCTGCTCAATCGTGTCTGAATGAGAAACCATGAAAACCAGCGATGCTGCTCATTTGTGACTTTAATCACTTTCTGGTTCATCGGAATGGTACCTAGAAAACAGCTTAAGCGCACATTGATCTGACTGCACCCGGATTCAAGAGGGTTCTCAAATGTTTGAATCATTGCCACAACAAATTATCGCTGAACCTTGTGTGTGCATTGGTCACTGTTCAAGTGGGATAGGTCACCATCATTTAAATGTGAAATCAACAACTACTTGCTACTTAAACTGCCTCGTTTCTCGGCCTATGGTTTGGCCTACGTTTGATAGCTGGCTCAATTTAGTCAGATTGCAGTAGCCGAATAAATCATCACTTTTTCGGTATTCTCGAATTATTTTGAAGTCTTTTTTTGTTATATGCTATCAGTGAGGTCTAACACATGTGTAATGTAGTTCGGGTAAGGTGTACGCCGGTGATTATATATGCCCGGTCACACGGAAAATATCACTAAAAGGTCGTGAGGTTCACGGGTTTTCTCCGAGAACCGTATCGTTCGTATCATCACTCTTATTCCAAGAAATACGTCAAAAATTGGGTATTTATTTGCGGTACACCGATGATTTCCTCTCCGGTTTTTCCCATGACCTCACAACGTCCATTTTATGAACACACTTACTTGAGGAATTCGGAGAGCTATCCTGTGTGTGTGAGAGAGAGAGAGAGAGAGACTGGGAGAGATGATTCTAGGTTGATGCCAACCGCAGAACAGTTATGTTCTTTTCATTGAAAGGGTCGAAAGATTGGATTGTTTGCTCGTTACAAATTCGGTGTAAATGTTTGCGATAAACGAGAAAGAGCACGGGACAGCAGTTTCGTCCTGACTTTGACTCGTCAGCAATGCGTACTTTTTTAGTGTCCCTGCCAGGATCGCGAACCGCGAACATCATCAACAATGCTTGGTGCCTGTGAGAAATCGAATGGGCTAATTCCAACAAATTGAGACCATTTAAAATGTATGCTGATTCCGTTTATCGTTATTCCACGAGTGGGCAAGCGGACGGACAGGAGCCGGGGGAGGATGTGACAAAATATTCGCTCGCATGTACTTTGGAACAAAAAGGACAAAATCATTCAAAAATGTTTGAGTGAAAGAAAGCAAATTGGAATAACGTGCGCTCTCAACTGTTGATGCACACTTCTCGCTGGCAGTGGCTAAGAACGCTTTCACGCCTTTTCTCTCGTATATCAAGATCAAGCGAATGATGTTTTGATACAAGTGTTGTCGAAACTGATTAGATGACTGACTGATCGTGCGATGACAATGTTGTCCAAATGCATGTCTGATTTATTAACGGGAAGGAAGCACGTGTTTTGCTGGTTTTTGTGAATGAATATTAGGCAGTTGCTAGAACCATGACACCCACAAAAACATGAATAAATACATTTGTATACAGTGCAAGAAATGAGTTAATACAAAATACACAATTGATTATGAAAATAAAATACCAGAAGAACACGAATTCTTGTCAGGCTTGTTTCAAATTTAAAAAAATCATTGAATAACAGTATATATGTATATTTCACACTTGTCTGAGGACAGACTGTGTGCCAAACAAATCATGGTACAATAATCTTTTTAAAAAGAAAAATGTTCCATGATTGGCTTGTGGGCTGAGTACTGCCAGGTTGCCCGGGCCAAGGCAGGTGAATTTTCTTGAGGAATCCACGACCGGAGCCTTCGGCTAGCCAAAGCCTGACCCGCAAGGCAGCGGGACGGTGTGCGAAAACCGCAGTTGATTGGGAGCCGGTGTCCAGTTCATCGGATCATACGTCCTTCGGACGGAGTCAGACGTCCAAGGT